TTTTAGAGACGTGTGTATATATAGTAATTATATTGCTGTTGTTTATTGCATAAGAACAAATGTTTATTAATATAACTTTCTATTACATTCTCATTGGCAAAGCATTCATAATTCTATTTCTTTTTTCATTCCCTAAATTTACCACATTTCCATATACAACCGGATTTATTTGATCATTATGTCCATATACACCAATAAGCATTTCATCATTTTGAAGTATACAAATGTTATGTAGTACGCAGCATGCAATAATAAATTCTGGGATTTTTTTTATATCTGTTAATGGCAAACAATCTAACAATATTCGAAAACGAATTTTCAATTGCCCTATCGCTCTTTCGACTGCCATTCTCGTTGATGACAAACAAAAATTAAAATTTTTTTGCCGAAGTGTGAGATGTCCGTTATCTCGAAATGGCACCATTACATGGGGATGAATACCATAGGCAGCATCTCCAATGATATGGGAATTATTCGGAAAGTATTCCTCAGACAATTCAAGAAATCGAGCCACCGGTGAGTTGCGGAATACTCTAGCATCGTGGACAGATCCCACCTGCCCAGCATAGCAATGTGTAAATACACCCCGATAATCACATACAACTTGAACATTGATGGAGTGAAACCCTTTTCTATTAATATAAGAGTTTGCATCTTCAACGGGAGCTCGAATTTTGACATGTGTGCCATCGATAGCGCCAATTACGTTGGGAAAGCCACGTGATTGTTGAAATTGTTCCATCACATTTAGAGCATCCTGGTCTCTCGGCCATCTAATGAAACGAGGTGAAACACAATGTAGAGCATAGGTTACTCGCCGTAATGCTCGAAAGGCAGTTGCCATTCCTACACCAAATTTTGTAGCTACAGACCTATAACAATAATGTGCCATGCAAATTAAATAATGCTGAAACTTTAAACGACACTTAATATATACGTTGTCATGTTCTTATTATACACGGATACAGAATAGATATCAAATATACCTGTAAGAATCAGGTGTAGCCATAAACCAGATGGCGATAAGTAATTGTTTTTCTTCTGAGATTGTTTTTCTACCAGCTGATGCAGCATTATTGATAGCACGTAATCCTGGACCAATTGTTGTAAGCACTATTTCAAATGTTTCAGGAAACATTCTAAAATACAGAAATTCACTTGATAAATACTAATGAAAGGTAAATAAAAACAATTTTGTAATGATATACGCTGCCACTTTTCTAGGTATATTATTTATATCACTTGATTTATATTAAATGAGAAAGTAAAATTCAAAAAGTAAAATCAATAAATTTTATTTATTGATTTATATTACTACAATTTATGATATTGTAACGTCTCGCTCGGCGTGATGTCTCGCCGTTGGCACGTCACTCCGCGCACTCGCGTATGGGTCGGTTCGACGCCTTACTCTCTCGCGCTCCGCGCCGCGAGTAAATAAGAGAGAGAGGACTTTAGTGAAATGGGGAAACTTTATTAGCCGTAACGTACACGTCTTCTCTCTAGCGAGATCAGAACAAGACAACGGAACATCAATAATCAACATATCCCATCGGTCCTTGGCGACCGGCGTCTCTATGCGCCGCAACTTCAGCCCACGGCCGGCGCGCATTCAACGGGTGACAGGCACAACACCTCGCGGGCGTAACAATATTATTTAAAGAATAACTTGATCTCATGTTCTTATTTCTTTCATACAAAGTTATAATTACTCACCGAAAATGTTCCTTGAATATTGTTCTCGAGTAACTGGGAATAACTCGTTCCACATAACCTGTTAGTTTCTCTACAGCTACCATTTCTCCACGTGTTTCTTCAACCATTAATATTGTATATAATATTTCTAATTCTATATTCAAACTTAGTATATCTTCATTTTCGTTTTCACTCTCACTAGAGTCACTCTCACTACTGCTGCTTTCGTCATTTTTTACTATTAAAAATGAAGCTACTGCTATTACTGTTTTGTCATCCATTCTGGTGGCATCCATTTTCGTTTCATATCAAACGCATCAAAATCCGTTCCGTTTCCAAGAGCGCATAGGCACATTAATGGAAACGGAACGATATCAATGCGCGCAGCGCATTGGATGCGATCTATGCATTCAATGCGTGAAACGGAAGGCACCCTGGATAATTTTTTGCATACAAGTACTGCTTCAATGGAAAAAATAACCTCGTATATTGAAAACATTGTAACACAAAAACCTGCTACACAAGCTTCATCTGGTTCTGTTGATAAAGAAGTATCAGTCATGTCAGAATGCATTTCTATGTCTTTAAAGAAAATTAAGGCTGAGAATCAATTGCCTTGTATGATAAAAATATTGGAAACCATTCAGTCTTTTTCTAATGATCACAGTGATTAAAGTTATCTGACTAAAGTTATCTATAAAGTATTCTGACATCCATCCTTTTTCTATATTTTTAAATTAAATGTTATTAAATTCAGTTAAATAAATATAACTATAATATTTAGATGAACAGAATATAAGTAGTATATTTTCAGCAATATATACATGTGATATTATCATGGTGGTGGATTTTTTTTTTAGAGAGGACTAAAACCCCATCACCTTATGAAATATATAGATGAACAAAGTAATATTTTATTTTAATGAAATTTTTTGTTATCTTGGCAGACAGATAATATTTGAAATGAAATATTGTATTACCTATCTGCCACAATAAATGAATAAATTTTAAGTATTATTATTAAATATTAATATATTTTACATGCCGCTTGTGATATTATTAAGTATTGATATGATATTATTCAGTATTATTTAGTATTACTAGATTGTAAGTTTATATTACCATTCATTAGACGCTAATATTCAATAAATACACGTATGTACTGGTGTCATTCTGTCACCTTTGCTACAGTCTTAGTACGGTCATAAATTTTTGTGCCTGATCTATTAGACAGCTAATGAACAAAAATTGAAACAGAGAAAAATAGTGTGAAATAATATTGCGCCTAAGGGTTTAGTAATACGGAGTATGAAAAATTATATTTTTTAACCAAAAATTTCTTACAATCACGTCTTCTAATATTTGTGTACAAGTTAAAGATTAACACAATGTGATATTACATATGTAAATGCGATATTACTACGTCATTAGTATATAAGAATTAGAATACTGATGTTTGTACTTATGTACACACTTAAAAACATGTATATAATTATTTGT